TTTTTGTATCATCTTTAGCCATATTTAAAATCGATTTTTGAAGTACTGGTTTATCTTCCTGGAAATTTTACAGATAAATTAAAATTTTTTCATAAATTATTATAAAAAATTTATTTTGGAATAAAATTTAAGAAAATTAATCATTTCTTACTTACTTTTTGACCTGAAAATGATGATGTAGTTGAAAGTGCGGATGTTGGCCTGGAAGATTCAGTACTGACTGATTTATTTGTAGCATTTACTGAAGCATTGGCTTTTTTTGTATCATCTTTAGCCATATTTAAAATCGATTTTTGAAGTACTGGTTTATCTTCCTGGAAATTTTACAGATAAATTAAAATTTTTTCATAAATTATTATAAAAAATTTATTTTGGAATAAAATTTAAGAAAATTAATCATTTCTTACTTACTTTTTGACCTGAAAATGATGATGTAGTTGAAAGTGCGGATGTTGGCCTGGAAGATTCAGTACTGACTGATTTATTTGTAGCATTTACTGAAGCATTGGCTTTTTTTGTATCATCTTTAGCCATATTTAAAATCGATTTTCGAAGTACTGATTTATCTTCCTGGAAATTTTACAATTAGACTAGTTAAAATTTTAATTTTTTAAATTGATGAAAAAAATTTATTTTACAGTGAAATAAAAAAAATTCAGTTAAAATTCAATCGCCTTTTTCTGGCCAATTTTTTAACTTACTTTTTGACCTAACTTTGATGAAGTAGTTGAAAGTGCAGATGTTGGCCCAGTTGATTCAGTACTGGCTGATTTATTTGTAGCACTTGTTTGAGTGTTGGTTCTTAAAGATGACATTATCTAATTTATTGGTAATCTCAAAAATTTTTTCATAGTACTGTTTTGATTGTACTAATTAATTTTCTATGGAAAAAAACCTAAAGATAATTTAATTTTGAGAGTAATGTATGTTTTTTACTATCATAACTTACTTTTTTTCATTAAAATGAACTTGCGTCTTTTGTATTTTAGCAGTTTCAAATTTTGGTGGTAAAATAACCGCTTTCTTAGCCCAATCAGTGCTTGGCTTTCGTTCAATAAATGATCGTGTACTATCTGCTGGATGATTTTCCGTAGTCGGCCAAACATAGGTTGGTATTATTTCAATTTGTTTAGTTTCCTGTTTAAAATAAAAAATTAGAAAAAATTCTTTTAAAAATAAAAAAGGTTAATTTTAAATTATTAAAAAGAAAAATTAAAAAACGGGAAAATAATTTACGCTAACTTTTTCATTATTAAACCGTGAGAATATTTTACACTAACTTTTTCATTATTATGTTCCTTTACGATTGCTCCAATCTGTTCAGGTGTTTGGACTTCTAATTCATCGGTTTCAATCGCTTCAATATTTTCCACCGCTGGTACCACGTGCTGTGGTACCACTTCTCGGATAGCTGTTTTAGTTGCTCCTTCAGCGATATTTTCCATTGCTGCGTCTTCATCAGTTTTTTTGATCTATATAAAAAAAGAATCCATTATACAATTATTATTTTTTAAATTTACTAATTGAATAGAAAATTTTTAAATTTCTTCGTCTTACTTTTTACCACCTTTTAAATTAAAAATGAAATTTGCAAAAAAATTGATAACAGTATTCAACTTTCTAGATTTTCCGTCGATAACATTATAAACTTTATTTGATTTCAATTTTTTTTTGAAAAGAATTAACTTAATATTCAAGTGAAATAAAACAAGCAAACAAATATAACTCTGATTGCTGAAGAAATATAAAAGGAATATGAAAATTTTTCGATGTATAAAGTGAATAGAAAAAAATGCAACGGTTAACAAATAGACGAGCTTTCTCATTTTTAAAATATTTTTTAA